TTCTTAAGCATCTCCTCATTTTTTTTTTTTATACCTCTTCTTAACTACTAACGACGTTCCAAGCCTAATAATGGGTATCTTACCAAGTTGCTCTGCATCCAAGAAGATCCAAGTTGTTCCACAGTCCCATTTGGTTTTATTGCTGCATCAAAATATAGCTTACTTAAAGCGGAGGGAGGCAAACTGGCTGTACAGTGGAGTTTGTTTGGGTTCGTGTCAAGAACGGGTCTTGTGCGAGGAACAAAACATGTCGAATCTCTCTCTTCTGTTGCTCAAGAGGTGGGGGCAGAAGAAGAAGACTCCGACATAACCCAGACTAACAAAAGTGGTATCTAACTGTCTCATCCTTCGCTTGAGTTTTCAAACTCGTTGTTGCTGCTGCTTTGGTACACAGCAGTCGAAGCTCTAATGGCCTCTGCACACATGAGAGCAGCTGCAGCTTTCTGGATCGCTAGATCTGCTTTGTACCTCAAACTCTCTGCTCTTTCTCGCTTGAGCTTGGCCAAAGCGCATGCACGCCTTGCAGCACCAGCTGCATCTCGCAATTTGTACTCATCTATATCTGTACTGTTATGTGATTCTTCATGTTCAAGACGCTGAGATCCGTTGGAGTAATAATGATTGGAACTGGGACATTCAGAAAATCCTGCATTCCATCGGTCACTCATGTTCCTCTTACCATTGATTCTTTGAAACTTGTTTTGGTGATTCCTATGATACCCATTTCCACCAGTCGAGAAGTGTCCCGTGCCTAGGTCACGAGGGGAATATGTTCCAGGAAATACTGGATGCATAGGATATTCTTCCAAGTGCTCATAGCTTTGGTTTGAATACGAAAACCTCTCATCTACAGCGGCAACACCAGGAGGGGGTCTTCTTCCTGCTAAAGAAATGGAAAAGTTGGATTAAGGATGAACTTTATATATGAAAAAAAAAACAGAATTAATAGAGGATTTAGAAAACAAAAGAAGTTAAAAGTGATTTACCAGATGAATTATAGACATCATAATCTCCCAAAGCAGTACTATGTTGAGCATAAACCGAGAGTTTCTTCTGTGCCCTGTGTTTTGTTCCCCTGTGCTTGACTTCCAAACCTCGAGGCTTAAAACAGAAAGCAAACATCGCTGGCTTCTCAATAGGTGACTGTTTCTCCTGTGACCCACATGAAAATGGAGTGTTTGCTTTGCTCATAAGCAACTCCCAGTCTTTGAGCTCTCGTTGATATTTTTCCCACAGAGGTGGCTGAGAGGTAGAAAAACAAGAGTTTAAGTTAGGCACAGGTAAAAAAATTGCAGCAGAAAACGTAAAATGAAAGGAACATGACTACATTATTGTTGAACCAGCAAATTACGATTAAACAAGGACTAAATCGATAGACTATAGAGGATGCTACAGTTTTGGACTCCCAGACATCTTCGTGCAAAACATATTGCAAAGCTACCTACAAAAAGATTCACTTTGTCCCCTAGTAGACATCTCATTTTGCATATAACACCGATTGAGTCATTAAATATCCTCAAAAACAGACTATGTAATACCTAAAATACAGACTATGTAAGGAGGAAGCGATAGCCTGCTCTCATACTGTCCACAAATCGTGCATTTCACCCCAAATACAAAAAGATTTTGAAGTTTCAGGACAAACATGAAAGAAAAGACAGATTAAATAAAACAAGGTGGGAAGGCATCAGAGATTGTACCTGAAGATGCCTGATTAATGGCATTCCCTTCCTCTGCCTCTTTGTTCTCCAAAGCTCATATATTGTTTCCATTGCTTCCAAGGATCCAACTCCGGACATCAATTCTTGGATTTCAACTAAGGTAAAGTGATCACGCTGCTTTACATATGAAGCCTTCTCAAACATGTCCATTGCCTTCTCAAATATGTCCTCAGTTATCTCACAAGAGCCACTATTCTCAGCATCCGAACACTCACGAATTCTCAAAAGCCACTGCTCATCATCACTGTCCATGTCATACAAAACACGTGAAGGATCCAGTGCCATCTCAACATCGGTTTCAGTCTGCCGAAAATATTTAGTAGAACTGCGGATAAATTCAGGTTCCATTCCATCAAAATTGTCCTTTTCTATCATGCGGATGCCAGGAATAGGAATATTTCTAACTAAAGCAGCTCGAGTATTTCTATTGTAGCACTCTTCATGCATCTCTTTAAAAAGAGACCACTGGCCCCTATCAGGGAATTCCAAGGTCCAATCTTTTCCACCTTTCCACATCATAGCATGTGTAAACCTATTTGTCGATCCAGGTTGCAAAAACTGATGCGCCCTGTGAGAGTATTTTGTTGTCCCCGAGATTTTCACCGCAAGTTTCCATTCATTATTATCAACAGGTTCCAGGAAAATCTGAGCTCCATATTCTCTCCAGCCTCTGTCACCAAGAGTGACTAACACATTGGCATCGCAAAAACTAGACTCCAATTCTTTTTGAAGTCCTCTGGAAACATCAGCAGTAGACCTTCTGATTCTTTTGTTCGGAAGCCCCTTGTGCATGGAACCTCTGTTTCTAGAATCAGAACTCCCAGACGGCAATGAATAAGATACTTGCGTACGTCGCTTCTTAGGTCCGTTTCCCAAATTAGTGTGCAGAAAGTCTCCCTTTGAATCCGACCAACCATGTGAGAGATGGCCAATTAAAGAACTTTTACTTCGATACCACATACTTCTTGGGGCAGTGGATTTGGGACTTGAGATGCTACCTTGAATACTCAAGGCCAGGTTACTTGACTGCGGAGTACCTCTGTCTAAATGATCAGACATTGGAACTTGAGTACAAACGTTAGACCTGGTTTCGTGCTTTTGTGTGACAACAGAAGAACTGACTGACATCCCATTTTCAGAATCAGACCCCAGTTGCTGCCTTTGAGATGGAGTATGACCGTCTTTTGACACTCGCGCTTCTTGCCCTCCAGAAGAAGTGATAATTAGTCCATCATTTAGGCACTTACTCTTGAGAGGAGGTTCAGGACATTCATTTGTGCAATCTACCATATCATAACCTCCATTTGTTACCAAATCGCGTTCAGTTCCCAGGTATTCTACTGAATCATGACCCAGCTTTCTTATCATTTTCAGGAATAAACGGAATAACAGAGTAGGTGGTCGAGCAGCAAAAGGAAGTGCCAATGGAGACGTATTTTGCTTCTTGCAGCAAACAGATGCACTGTTTGCAGACGACGATCCTCTAGAAACAAATCCTGAGCTGATTCCCTGCCTAGATCTCTTCTGCATAACCTGATGTTCAAGATT